GAAACAGTGCGACAGCAAGGACACATAACAGACTCGATACTGAGCAGTTACCCGAGTCGTCACTGTATCGAACCGCAACAGCAAAAACAGTTGAAGAAGAACCTTTAATATTCCTTTGTAATCATATAAAAGCTTTGTATCTCTCTGCTATTAACAACTTATATTGTTCTCACACACCAGTACAAGGTGGTTCAGCAACTCTGATATTACGCTTCCGCTAACTACAACATTCCTACTCAAGAGATCTTAGCCTTGAAAAGATCCTAAGGGCTACTTCTCAGCCCAACACAATGTATGGTCATAGGCTTTTTTAATGTCACATGGACTGAGCAAGCAATGATTGTTCATGGTGCGGGATATGTCACTGGCCTTGGAAGCGAATTTATAGAGCATGACGAAGCAAAGATGTGTTTAGGCTCTTGCTGGTATTCAAAGTTAACAGGTGTTGGGTGTTGTAGCATGTTTAGCCTCGAATAAAACGATCAACGCCGAAGCGATTCTCGCAAACCACCGTGCACCATCTCACTCCTGTGAACACTGCGTCGCATTCACCGAAAACGAGGATGTCTCTTGGGAGGTTGCGAGCCTTATGAACTGAGGCCAAAAGCTGACTCTTCGATATCGGAAATGGTTGAGAATTCTCTTGAAGCCCAACAAAGCTCTGCATGCGCATTTTCATAGCTCAGCACTGAACAGCTCTGATCAGTTTAGTAGTCACATATAGAAACACGTATTCAAATCAGCAAGCACTGAGCAGCGCGCCAAGTCAGAGAGTGAGAAGAATCGGTGGCAGGTGATCTGGAACTCAGAAACATGTATCCAAATCTGCGTCCACTGTGCAGCCTGAATCTGCTTTGCAAGGATTAGGTCACCGGAATTATGAGAGGCTGTCGTTTCATTTGCAAGGAGTCGGAAATGCAGGTATCCTGGCTCGTGATTGCCACCCACTTCTTACCAGCTCGCCACCCCGCGACTACTTCTCATCAGCGAGATAGCAGACCGTGTTTTACCACCTCGCAATCTCCTTGCTTCTTCATTGTGCTCTACATTCTCGAGGTCCATTCGTTCAGAATCTGCATGACATTCCCAGTCATGAAAGTCGTCACTCTACCGTTCATATCCTTGACTGTTATGAGAAATGGCAGTCGATGGGATGCAGAATCCGCCGCCGCCTCTGTTTCCGACTTACCCTCCAACGCCGCTGGCTGGGTTCTTCGATTAAACTTCCAGCCTGGAAAAAGAAGCTTCCTGTTTTCTTGCTTACGTGGCATTCACGGTGAAATTGGAGAGCATAGGATGGATGATGGCGCCAGTGATGATGGCCTGTGCACCACGCGAGCTTCTTGTTCTGATTTTCCTCTCCGAAATACCTTCAGTCACGAGGTGCGAGCTTCATTTTCGTGTTTCCAGCGAATTTAGAAAGATCTCGTTTCCATGTCAGCTACTTCTTAGGCACCTGCGACTTAGAGTCATAGCAAGCCTGCTCTTTACTATCTCTGTGCCTGGAACGTCTCCACCACGAGTAGTCTGTTCCTGCGAAGCTAGCCGAAGGATTGATTCTTGAGAAAACCCATTACTACCATAGCTTTTGACCTTCAACCATGCATCCTAAAGATTTCACGTCTCTCGAGATCCAAGAGAGTCAGTACCATCAGCCTATTGCTGTTTATGTTTCAACTCCATAGTGATGATCGCCGATTTTCACCTGATGTGTCGTCTTATTCTTTCAGGAGATGGCCTGGCTCAAAGCCCACGTCGGCTGGTTACAAGGCGAAGGTTTCAACCACGGATCTGGGTGAAGCTGACGTTTTTCGTTGGGGCTCTGGTGCTGATCTGCTCGGGTGTTTTGGCCGTCGTTCTTTGGAGGCTGTCGAAAACAACCTTGACTGGAGAGATTCGAGAGAGACTTGAAACTGTCGCAAGCCTTCGTCAAGAGCAGGTATAACCCTAAGTCTGGCTATTTTGGCCGCTGTATCAGCTGCTATATTGGTCAATTCGGTTATAATTTGTAATTACTCTGATGGTTATGTTTCGATATGTATCTTCTTTCTGTTTCAGATACTCTCCTACATCATCGGAACTCAAGATACGGTGAAGCTGATTGCGTCTCGCGTTGTCATTTCATCCCTGATGCTCATGCACAAGCAAAGGAAGTCCAATTTGACGAAAAATGACTACAAGATGGGCACAGAGAATCTGGATTCTGCTGTCATGAGTGCAGCTAATGTCATGGCGTTAGGAGCCTACAGCGTCGAGGGTGAACTTTTGTTTTCCAGCAAGCAGCCAACTGATGTGGAGCCGCTGCCAAAACGTTTGCACGGGCGAGCACTGATTGTGCAGTATCGGAACACGTCAGTGTGGTCTGGGATTCCCTATGCAGGACAGAATAATACATTCCTGATTGACATTACAGCTTCTGTTGACTATCAGGTATGCAATCTCATTTAGCTGGTCTGGTAGGTCCATTAAATCACCTGTTTCAAAAAGAAGAAATGCTTTTATCCTTCTCTTCTGACGTTCTTTGTCTTTCAGGACACCTTTTGTGGAATTATTCTGGCTAAAGTTGATGCTGAGAATTTCAAGCGAACTGTGCATGATGGGACGGGTCTTCAGTCCACTGGAGAGCTTCTTGTTGCATATGTCAATGACGGCGAGGACGTGGCGAAGTTTATAGTTCCTCCGATCAAGGATCCATCAGTGAAAAACTCGACTTTCAATGGTGCTGCCTTCAGAGCAGGGAGGGGGCAGACTGGATATTACCAAGGGGTTGACTTTCGTGGTATCGAGGTCGTTGCTTCCTACCGGCCCATTGGCTATGACTCCTGGGGTATGTCTTGCATTTCTTGCCTGTTCTGCTCTCCGTGAGTAAAGTTTCTTTGCCCATTCTTGAACATGATTTTCAAACTTATAAGCTATCTGCGTCATTGCAGGTCTGGCAGCTACAATTGACAAAGGAGAAGTATACAACTCTATAAGAAAGTTCGAGAAGATCATTATCATTTCAATGTCCTTCATCTTTGTGCTGGGGATCCTCGCAGCCTATGCCTTAGCCACGGTACGACATCTTTGTTATTCGTCTTCATCTTCTCTCGAAATTCGTATGTTCGCTGCAAGGCAGTGTTCTTACTTATAATGTGAGACATTGCTGTGCAGTATTTCTCCCGTCCGATCATGGAGCTTGGCGATGCAGCGAGCAAACTGGCACGGGGTGATTACAGTGCAAGAGCACATGGGCGACGAGGCTGCTTGAAGGACGAGATTGATGAGCTCTGCTGTGTGTTCAATGACATGGCTGATCAGATCTCCAGCTCTTACACTACTTTGGAACAAAAGGTGTGTCGCTCTACATCTGGTCATCCTTTCTCCCACTGTTTTTCCCCTTTTTTTTAGGGTACAAAAAATGTGCTTTGCATTGACAAATATGGAGCTCTGTATTGATTTTCAGGTGGTGGAACGCACGCAAGACCTGGCACTTCTGAATCAGGGTCTTTCCGCTGAGGTGGAAGAGAGGAAGAGTGTTGAGCTACAGCTTCAGGATGCCAAGGAGCAGGCAGTTTCAGCTGACAAGGCGAAATCAGAGTTTCTGGCAAACATGTCTCATGAGATCAGAACACCGTTGAATGGCATCATCAACTGCACTGAGCTTTGCTTGGACACTGCTCTCAGCTCTGAGAAGATCGAGTATCTTGAGCTCGTAAGTTTGCTGTGCATTTTGGCTGCAAAACATATAAAATATTTCGTATGTCTTCTTTCGCGCTTCGAGTCATGGCTGACTGGTGTATTGATTATGCTTCCTATGTGCAGTCCTTGTACTCAGCCAAGCATCTTTTGCGCTTAATTGCTGACATTTTGGACTTCAGCAAAATCGAAGCAGGGAAAATGGACCTGGAGAACATCGAGTTCTCATTACAGGACCAGGTAATAACTTGCTGCTTTTGTAACCACCCGATTTTGTATGTGTTGATGTTTTGTTTCTCAATAATAGCTCATTCAACCGATTTTCCTCCAGATGGAACATGCTGTATCTGTTCTGGCGAATCGGGCAAGGAAGAAGGGCCTTGCACTCGTATCATGGCTGAGGTCTCCGAACATGCCAGAAAATTTCATGGGTGACCCTGGACGCCTTCTTCAGATCTTCATCAACCTTTTGGGTAGGTTTCAGTACAGTGCCCACCTACATTTTATGTATGCTACTTTTGAACATACAGGTCCTGAAATTTATTGCATGATGCTCTCTGTTACAGGTAATGGGATCAAGTTTACTGAGAAGGGGGAGGTTTTGCTAACTGCGACACTTGTTGCCCTCAAGGATCAGACCGCAGAGGTTCTTTTTGCTGTTAAAGACACAGGTTAGTAGTAAAAATGCTTTCGTTTTATGCGAATATGTGTTGAATGTCACGTTGCATCATAACTTTCGTTCTCGTTTCTACCAGGAATTGGCATACCTCAAGCCAAGCAGTGTCTTTTGTTTCAAGCGTTCAGTCAAGTGCATGCATCAGATTCACGGTAAGACGTGACTTCCGTTATTCCCTTCATTTGTTTTTTAGTGAAGAGATAAGTCGTTAATGTTTGCAGTTTGTGTTTCAGGCTGTATGGAGGGACGGGACTGGGATTGATGATCTCATCTCGCCTGGCTAATGCAATGGGTGGCCACATGTGGGTTGAGAGTGAAGAGGGTTGCGGGTCAACCTTCTGTTTCACGGCCAAGTTCACTGTACCACCTGAGCCTGCAAAACCGTCATTATTGGCTCAGTGTGGCACTCTGTGTCCGAAGATGAACCACTTCCGCGGGCTTGTTGTGGATGGGAATGAATCAACCAGGAAGTCCATCCTTTCGACTCTTGAGGTGGGAGCCATTGTTTGTTGAGCTATCTTTTGTTTTGATTCTGCTGGCACAAGGGAGGTGATACTGATACCAGGTGTTTGTTTTTCCTTTTTTTTTCTTTCAGAAGCTGAAACTCAAGGCAGACGATGCAGCTGATGCAACCTCCGCTCTGGAAATGCTCCAAAAGGCAGCATATGACGAGTCGCCATACACTCTCCTCATTCTCGACTCTGAAGTCAGGGACACCCACCATGTTTCCTCCTCCTCATCCTCCCCCTCCTGCTCCTCCTCCTACGATAACTGTGCTGTCTCCTCCGCCAACTGTGCGAAGCTGCTGCGCCGCATCAAGGAGCAGAATCTGCTCCATCAGGACAACACCGGATGCCGAATTTCAGAAGGAAACTGCAGTAGTAGCGGTGCTGTGCAAGAGATGGAGGATTTCACTGGGCGCTCCGAGTCCCCTGTGCCTGCTTGGCTGTTCTCTGGGGAGCAGGAAAGGGCAGCAGCAATAGAAGAAGAGCCTGATGCCAGTGTGCTCTCTTCAGGAACAGGTGGAAATGCCCCAGCAAAAAGACTGGGTGAGAGTTCTGGTCCGGATGAGCTGCAGTCAGCTCAAAGGGTGGATTCACAAACAGCCACAGCTGACAGTGGAGGAGTGATGCAGCTGCAGAGATGCGGCCGGGCACAGGCTTCCTGCTCTGCTGCTGACGGGTGTCGACCCAAGTCTTGCGAAGAGGACTTGGCGCTGCCTGTGGTGTTGCTGACACCAGGAGGTCCTGACGACAAGCTCTTGTAAGTGCTGGCATTCGGACAACACATAAATGTGTGGCAGTCACTCCACTCCGCAAGCCGCCTTTCTAAGTAAGGTTGTTTCTTGCTTTCTTGGAATGCTGCTCAACAGGTGTAAGGAACTCGGGGTGCAACTCTATCTACCCAAGCCTGTGAAGAGGAAAGTGCTTCTGCGAAGAGTCAAGCAGGCCTTGAAGCTCCCCCTGCAGGTGATCTCCCTTGCTCCAACTCTTCCCTCAAGCATTCTACAATTGTACCTACTCTGCATGCTGCTGAATGGACCTGCCATTGAACGTCTGCACATACCCTCTCTTTCATTCTTCGCCCCATGCTGATCTTTCCTTTCTTTGTTTTGTCAGGACGGGCTCTATGCCTCAAATTCAAGTGCTTCAGAGGAGGCATCGGCATCAGCAGCGGCTGAGAGGAGTCTCAAGGTCCTGGTTGCAGAAGACAACATTGTCAACCAGCGGGTAGCCATGACCCTGCTGCGCAAGTGGGGGCATGAGGCGGTTCTGGCCAGTGATGGTGAAGAAGCCCTGGAGAAGGTTCAGACAGGAGTGTTTGATGTGATACTAATGGATGTGAGTATGGCAGCAGCATTTCTGCTCCTTCACCGTGTGTGTGGTTCGTGTACCAGCTACATGCTGCCCCTTTTCTCCGTGAATGCAACTGTCGTACAAATTTCGGTTTCACCTCCCTGCCTGTCCTACGCTCTATTCACCTTCCCCTTCTCCCATGTGCAATATCAGGTGCAAATGCCTGTCTGCGATGGCCTACAAGCAACCAGGAGGATTCGTGAATACGAGTCTACGACAAATCGCCACACTCCCATCATTGCTGTAATGCTCGTACAATTTTGTTTTGACAAAAGGACAGCGTTTTTCAATTCATCTGACAGCTGCTCCTTTTCCTGCAGATGACAGCGCAAGCCCTTATAGGAGACGGAGTGAAGTGCATAGAGGCAGGGATGGACTCGTACATGAGCAAACCTGTAAGCTTTTCCTTGCTCTGCTGCTACATCTTGGACTGTTACGTATGCTTGAGGGGGTTTAAAGCCATTGCTCTTTTTTTTTGTGCAGTTGAATGCGTCCAAGTTGAAGGACCTCTTGAGGCTTGTGTGTCAATCACATGTGCTTCCAAAGCCATCCAATGATTGTGCCCCAGATTTTTAATTTCGAGGAACTGTTCATTAGGCATACGTATGTACATACATGAGTGGTGCTGATACTATCACTCATGCCAGCTTCCTTCTGGGCATTGAAAAATGGCCGATTTTATTATTCGTTTCCACCTTATTTCTGCAGTGTAGTATGATTAGTATTTTGTGCTCTCATCCAACCTTCTCTTGCATCATTAGTGTATTCAGTCAGTTCGTTTTGTTTTACACAGCTGAGGACTTCCTTTTGACCGATTGTAAGGATTTTTCTCGACATTCCTTATCGCGACCATCAACATTGCGTACAGCAGCAGCCGTTGTTCACCAACTTCGCACGCACTGTGTCACCAAACCTTGCATCGCTGGCCCAGCCGAGTCGGCCTACGCTTCGGGACTAGCCCGAACCTCCCTGCCAGCGTAGCACTAGCTAGCTCGCACTCACCGCGTAATCGTTGCATGTTCTCGCACATAAGTATTCGCTCACACTTTGTACTCGTTGAACACTCGAGTGCAATCCTCGCTACCTCGATTCATTGCACCCGTAACACTTGGTATTCATAGCCTCTTTCCTTTCAGACCGCGCATCTCTGCACCCCAGGAAATAACCTTTTGATTTTTCACTCGAAGGGACTCACGCCCCTTAGCACCTAGGAGCCGCTGTCCTCACGTTCTTTCGTCAACGCGTGCAGCCACGACTACGCCTAGACTAAGCTGAGCCGACGCCCTTCGACATGGCTGAACACATCGACGTCACCACACTCACGCAGGACCGTCTGAACGAACTGCTGTAGCAACTCCGCGAAAGCTCTGAAGAAATCGCGGCGCTGACGGCAGAACGCACGTCCTTGCAAAATGACGTCGCACGAGCACAGCAAGCACAATCGCAAGCACTTCGCTCATACTTTGTGTTGGAGGTTGCGTGGGGCGGTTTTTGCCCCAACCACAAAGCGGTGTTGTTTTTGGTGCTCACCTTCGAGTGAGCTGCAGGTTTGCGTGGGGTTGAAGTTTGACTTCGGAAGACTCCACCAATTCGGTGCCACATGGCAGCATCAGGAACATTCGAGATTTAAGGAGCATTCGGTGAAATTCGAGTACTGAATTTCACCCCGTTTGAAATGCTACACGAATGTTCGCGACACATCTCGTAGTGACTAGATGTTACATGCGCGACTCGATGTATTGAGTAGCTATAAATATGCTCGCCTTGTTTGCATGTTTCATACTGAAAATCAGAGTTTCCTATACATGGTTCAACTCGACACAAATTCCATAGAGCATCCTATCCTTCAACCTATAACATAGCTTTCACGTTAAAGGCCATAACTCGCTCGATACTTAGGCGATCGAGGTGATCTACGGCTCGTTGGAAAGTTAATAGGGTGCTCTATTGTGTAGTTTAAATCCTAGTTCCTGACAACTAGAGGAGAGTCATCTACAACAGTGGTATCAGAGCTGGTCGGAGGAGTCTACGCGCGCAACAAGAAGCTAGCATGCCGACGTCAAGCGAGGCCTCCCGCACTTCCTTGGATGGTGTCGTTGTAAATTCCGGCGAACCCTGGGCAACCGCGACGATGTTCGACACGTCGGCGGTACCGATTTTCACGGGACAAAACTACTCCGCGTGGAAGTGTTAGAATCCTAGGCAAAGAGTTGTATTGGAATGTCGAGAGTTTGGTACAAGAATGAAACCTAAGGGGTTGTACCCCACAGTGAGTACCCCACTAAAGTCTATCTAAATAACAACATATACACATATGTTTGACACACCCCCATAGGCAAAGTGGGGGAGAACAGAGGGTCACAAGGCCAGGCAGGAAGTGCAAAGCAAGCTCAGGGTGGATCACAACGTCACCACGCAGTCTGAGCACAAGCAAGAAGGCCACAAGGCCAGTTCACATGCAGAGATATATATGGAACAACAACAGTACAGTGATATCTACCTACAAGAGCAAGTATGCAGGTATACATATAAATCATGGTACAAACAAAGCCTACAGCAAGTGAGGAAGCGTGGGCACAAGGCCTAACAAAGTGCAGAAACGCTGATGATCACCAGGCGGAAGCGCATTGGTGAATATATCAGCAGTGTTGGCCCGAGTGGCCACGTAGGTAAGACGAAGCTGGCCACGCTGCTGCAGCTCTCGAGCAAGGAAGTAACGGAGAGCGATGTGCTTTGTTCTGTGCTCCAGTCTGTGCTCCTGACACAAGGCAATGGCGGCCTTGTTGTCGACGTACAGAACTGGAGGAGAACGAGGCCGCTCTCCCAAGTCGGTCAGCAGGTAGGTGAGCCAGCGCAGCTCCTGTGCAGCCATGGCTGTGGCGTAGATCTCTGCCTCACAGCTGGAGCCGAGAACTGAAGACGAACGTGTAGAACGCCAGGAAACTGAACCAGAACCAAGGCTGAAGGTATAACCCTGTGACGACCACTGCGTAGCCTGGTCGTCAACCCAAGAGGCGTCCGAGTGACCAGTGAGGACAACGTCACCCCGTCCTCCAAGCACGAGCCCCATGCCCGATGTACTGCACAAGTAGCGTAGTACCCTCTTGGCAGCATCCATGTGCACCTTTCGGTGCTGACCAGGAGCCACGTAGCGAGCCAGAAGGCCAAGAGGGTACGCAAGGTCAGGACGAGTGCAAGTCATCAGGTACATGAGGCAGCCCACTAACTCTGGGTAAGGACCACTCGGCTCTACGGACTCGTCCGAAGGTGGAGCTGAGAGCGAGTGACCTGTAGCCAGAGGAGTGGCCTGTGCTGAGGACCAGGTGAAACCGAAGCGCTGAAGAACCTGCTGCACCATGTGTGACTGAGTCAGTGTGATGGTGCGGCGTGCTCTGTCCCGGGTGATCTGCAAGCCAAGGTAGCTGCGCAGTTCACCCAGGTCTGTGCACGTGTGTCTCTTCTGCAGCGGTGCGCAAAAACAGCGACGGGTCAGCAGTCGACAGAGCAAACCCAAGAGCCGCAAGTGTCGTCCTCAGTGTGTCGTGCCACTCACGTGGCGCCTGGCGGAGACCGTAGACCGGCCGCCGGAGGCTCCACTGGGTACCAGGAGGGAACGACCCAGTGAATCCACGAGGGCCGCGCAGCCAAATCTCCTCGTGCAGGCTGCCCTGTAAGAAGGCTGTGCTAAAGTCAAGAGAGTGAAGCTCGTAGTCACGCTGAGCGGCAACGTGCAGCAGCACCCGAAGAGTGGTCATCTTCGGGGTGGGGGAGAAGGTCTGGAAGAAGTCAACTCCCTCTCGCTGACTGAAGCCTCGAGCCACGTAACGAGCCTTGAAGACAGGCGGAGAACCTGGCGGCCGCTTCACCCTGAAAATCCACATGCCACTGACAATGTTCGCCCCAGGAGGAGGAACGTCGTCGACGTAGGTGCATGTGGACTTCCAGGATGCCATCTCTGCGTCCATGGCTGTCTGCCACTGAGAGGAGTACTCACCCGCGATCGCCTCAGCGTAAGAGCGCGGGGTAGGGATGTCTGGTGCATCCGGGTCTCCCTCAGGGGCAAGCAGCATGGATACGAGATGAGGCGCAGCGGCTGCAAGACACTCAAGGTCCTCCTGCCTGTCCTCAAGGACGTCCGTGCCAAGAGCACACTCACCCCCGACGGACGGAGGACAGACAGACTCAAACTCAGCAACAAGACTAGCGGCGTAGTCTAGACGACAGTGAGCAGCAAAGGCAACAAGCTCAGTGACTAAGGCAGACGCAGCAGCAGACTCAAACGACGGGTCAGTGACAACAGTGGCAAGCAGACGCGTGACAGTAGAGTGCTCAGCACGAAACCGGTCAGACGCAGGGTCAGCAACGACAGGCAGAGAGGACGCAGGGGGAGGCGGCAGAGGAACACGCGGCGAAGGAGAGGAAGTACGACGAACTACAAGGGGAGGGCCGGAGACAGCCGGCTGGCTCTGACTAGGAACACGACGACCGGAACTGACAGGGGAGACAGGACGCGACGCAGGCTCACGACGCTCTGCAAGGCCACCAGGCTGCTCTGCGTACGGAGAAGGAGCAGGCAGCGGTGAGCCAGGCTGTAACGGAAGACCAGTAGACGAGGGAAGACTGAGAACCTGACGAAGTGCAGAGTCAGGTGGTGGCTGAGACGACGGAGACGGCGGAGCGAAGAACAGGCGCTGCTGAGCAGTGCCACCAGCACCAGTAGCTCCAGCACCTCTAGCAGCTCCAGCACCTCCAGCAGCTCCAGCACCTCCAGCAGCTCCAGCACCGCCAGTAGCTCCAGGACCCTCAGCAGGTCCAGCACCTCCAGCAGCTCCAGTACCCTCAGCAGCTCCAGCACCGCTAGTAGCTCCAGTACCCTCAGCAGCTCCAGCACCGACAGCACCTCCAGCAGCTCCAGTACCTCCAGCAGCTCCAGCACCCTCTGCAGCGCCAGTACCCTCAGTCACAACACCGCCAGCCCCAGCAGCTCCAGTACCCTCAGTACGAGCACCGCCGGGACCAGCGACACCAGCAGAAGAACCCCCAGCAGTAGAGCCCTGAGGTGCAGAAGCGCGACGCTGACGGCGACCGTACCAGTCGTGCAGCTGCTGGGAGGTGAGGGGCACACGCGGACGAAGACGGCTACTCCAAGGAGACCGCGGAAAAGCAGTCGCAGAACCCTCAGGCGACTCACCCCCAGACTCAGCACCCCCAGGCTCCGCACACGCAGGCTCAGCACCCCCAGACGCAGCACCTCCAGACGCAGCACCCCCAGGCTCCTCACGCTCAGTGCCCCCAGACTCAGCACCCCCAAGCTCCGCACCCCCAGGGACAGCACCACTCGCAGCAGGACCGGAGTCACCAGTGACCTCAACAGGCGCAGGCGCAGGGGGGTCTA